CCAGCAGAATCACTGTATTAAGTCCACCTTGAAACCTACTCTCCCTCTGGACTTCCAGTTACCTGCCAAGAAATTTACTTATGACAATTTGGTTGGGGCTGTTAGAGTTGAGCTCACTCAATGGGTACAGCACTGTATATATATAAAAAAAATACCTTCCTGTCTGGTCTTTGAAAACTCTTGCAGAACCTATCTCCAGACCCTGCTCGCTCCATGTTGTCTGTCCTCCTCTGAGGACTTGCACTGGGTCTGGTGCTGAGTTTGTGCTCAGCCCTGTAACAGGCTTAGCTTGTCCTTTGCCTTGCATTACTTCTTTCTGCCTTGGCTATGACTCTCAGGGACTACATTGACGCTCAGATACCTGGAAATCCTGCTTGCTTGGAAGCAGACTCAGGCTTCCTGCCCAGGGCTCACACTTGTCCCCAAATCCCTTGACCATTCTTGATGTAGCATCCATTCCAGGTGCTCTCCAGGTATCCCCAGCCCCTTAGATGGAACCAACTTTCATGTACTTAAAAAGTCCTTATGTGGAGGTTTGGAAAACGTATGATGTTCTCAGCATAGAACTCCACAGCTTGTGCTGAGACGTTGGCCTTAAGATGCCTTAATGATGCCCTTAGACTACTAGTGTTAGAATCACTAAGATCAAAATTAGATGCGTGTTGGGCCGGTGCTGTGGCTCACTAGGCTAATCCTCTACCTGTGGTGCCGGCACCCCGGGTTCTAGTCCCGGTTGGGGCGCCGGATTCTGTCCTGGTTGCCCCTCTTCCAGTCCAGCTCTCTGCTGTGGCCCAGGAGGGTAGTGAAGGATGGCCCAGGTCCTTGGGCCCTGCACCCGCATGGGAGACCAGGAGGAAGCACCTGGTTTCTGGTTTCAGATCGGCGCAGTGCGCCATCCGCAACACACTGGCCGTAGCAGCCACTTGGGGGTGAACCAACAGAAAAAGGAAGCCCTTTCTCTCTCTCTCTCTCTCTCATTGTCTAACTCTGCCTGTCAAAAATAAAAATCAGATGCTTGTTAAAAAATGCAGATTCTCAGAAGCACTGGGAGTATTCCTGCAGCTGAACTGGAGAGGCCCTATTTTTACCAGACCAAACTATGGTTATCTCACTCTCTGAATCAGCACAGACAGCTCAGCCTCCAGGCTTAGCTTCTAATGATATATAGGCCAAGGCAATGACAGAGGGAGGCTGGGAAGGAGAGAGAATTATGAAGAAGGGAGAGTAGGAGGTGGGATAGAAAGGTGCTGAATGATTTTGGATGTACAGTAGTGGAACTGTACATAAAGGCACCCTCAAGTGACCACGGGCATTTGTTTTTGTAGTTCCTTCACTTTCACCTTTGCACATCCACTAGTTTTTGTCTTCTGGCATGATTTGTACCCAGCCATACCCGGCATCACAATGTAACCTTCTACAAATCACACAGTTGACAACAGCAAGGCAAAAATATAATGTCCAAGAGCCAAAGGTCAGAGCATACTTTTGTTAGCTGGCAACTTACATGTCACAAAAATTTTGCCTTGAAGTTATTTCACAAATGTGAAATATGTTTTCAGATTCCATACCGTATCTCTCCTTCCAAGTCTGTGTTGCTCCTCTCATGCTTTGCATGGCCTGATAAGCTCTTTCCCATTGGCCTAATAAACTTAACCCACTTTCTGTCACATGAAATATATTTTCCCCAGGGGCTGACATGACAGAATTCATGTTCTGTGGAAAATAACACCTGTGCTTGCTGATTGTCAGCTTCACTCAGAGTTGAATTTGGGAAGAGTTTACACGTAGTCAGAGCAAAAAAAGTTCTAGGAGCCATTTTCTTTCTTTCAAAAAACCATTGATTAAATCAGAATTCTAGGATGCAGACCTATTCAAAATGGACTTGTGATAGGCCTTCCTCATATTCATGGTTAATCCCCTTATCCCTTTATAAAAACAAATCTATTTATTCCCCTTCTTTCCTATCCCCCTACTCGATTTCTCATATGACATTATGTTTCTCATTTTCTTATTGACTAGGGACAAATTAGTCTGGGATTTGGGGTACATGGTCATTCCAGTTCCCTATGCAATAGACTGAAAAAAAAATCATTCCAGGCCCTCTAATGATTGGATTTAGCTTGTCAAATACCTTGACAAGAGCACAGTTTCACCTGAGTGTGCACAGGGCTCTCAGATGAGAAGTCAGTGGTCATGTGTTGGAGTGTGGACCTCCGGTCAGCAACATTATCTTCCCCCTTTATTCTTTCATTTGGTGGTTTCCAAAGTGGTTGGGTATCAGAGTCACTTGAGCAGTTTGTGAAAAATGCAGCTTTTCTGGCTCACTCCAGTCATAAAGAACATCTGATTTTTGAAGTTGGGGCCCAGAAGCATAATTTTAAAAGAAAATAAATAAGGTCCCTGAGGGATTCTCAGGCAGCCACGATGGAGCATTTATTGAAGACTTGTGGGAAGCTCTTCTCTGGTCCAGTGGTCCTTGAACTTCTGCATGTATCAGAAGCACCTGGAGGCCTTGTTAGAGCACAGATGGAATTCTCAGAGTTGCTGCTTCAGTAGGTCTGAGATGAGTTTGAGAATTTGCATTTCTAACAAGATTCCAATTGATGCTGACGCTATCTGTCTAGGGACCCCACTTTGTGGAGCATGCCTCTGGTTCACATGTTTATTACCATTAGTGTTTCTATCATGTGGCTGTAACTGGGCTTAAGAAGGATCCACTCAGGTAGGAAGTCACACACCTGGCTGAGTCCCCAACTGCCCGGGAAATATTCATATTTTAACATTCAGTTTTAGGGGTGATGGTTAGATGTCACCTCAGATCTACTGAATCAATGTTTCTAGGATTTCCTGGGAATTTGTTTAGAAGTGACCCAGAGGGGGCTAATTTTTTTCAAGGAGTTGAAACCATGTTCTTGTGTAAGCCAGACTTGTGAATCCATGAATAACTTGCTCGGCAAAGAAACGTACTTGATGCCTATCTGAAGTTCAAATGTAATGAGGCATCCTCTATTTTTATTTGGAATCCCTGGTTGACTTGGCTATCTTCGACATGAGCTTAGTTCCTGGTTCTTACCATGTCCCTGTTTAAAATGTTCTAGGGAGTTGGGGTGAAAAGCAGAACTACAAAACATGAAGTGTGGGTTAGAGAAAATTAAGATGTTTCCTTGGGAAAGAAACACACACACACACACATACCCTACAAAGGAAAATTCATTAATCTAAACAGCAGAAACAAAATAAGAAAAAAAATTTACTGTCTACTAATTTTTTTTAACCAGATACTTCATCAATTACACAGTCAAAAGAAACCCTGGGGAATAAAAAGATACCAAAAATGCTATTAAAATGTTCCAAGTGAAACCATATATAATTAATTTCAAACAAGCATAAGCTATGAAAACGCAAATACTTCAAGGTGCTGAGTGAAAGGCAGGATAAATCTCCACCAGGCTTCCAAACTTATGCTTCCAGGTGAGTCTAAGGTTGTGTCAGAGACAGGGAAATAATGATGTCTGCTCCCTCCCTGTTTTATGGGAAGCTAAAGAGCCTTAAGATGAGGCATTCCCAGTACACATCAAGGATAAGAAGTGACATAAATACAGCCTCTGACATCAACACATAACTACTAAGAGGCAGAATCAAATAAATGGAACAAACAAAACACAGGGCGTAGGAGTTTGGCACACTGGTTTATACACTAGGATGCCAGCATTTCATATGTAAATACCTGGCTTCTAGTTCCCATTCTACTTCTGATTCCAGCTCCCTACTAATGCATACTATGGGAGGCAGTAGCAGTCAATGGCTCAAGTACCTGGGTCCCTGTCACTCACATTGGAGACCCAAATAGAATTTTTGGTTCCTGGCTTCAGCTTGGTCCAGTCATGGATGTCCTGGTTATCTCGAAATGGAAGACCTGTGTCCCTCCCTCCCTTTCAAATAAATCAATTTTTTTAAAAAGATGAAAAAAATCAGTGCTACAAAAGACAAAGAAAACAATGGAAGTGATGTGACAAACCATTGCCCAGATAGAGCAACCACCCCTGGCTCCACGGTTCCTGCAAAGAAAGCAGTTTTCTCCATAGGCAACCTTGACCTCATGCAGCTTAGAGGTCAGTGAATATCTTCTGTAAATGGCAAAATAGCAACACTTTCAGCCTTTCAGCCTCTGTACACCATCATTCTGTGCTGCATCCATGCAAGCATGCCATTATAGCATGAAAGCGGACACAGCCATCTCATAACAAATGGACATAGCTGTGCACCAATAAAACTTTATGTATAAAAATAGACGGTATGAAAAATCAGATGATGGAACAGATCTGGCCTGTGGACCGTAGCTGGCCAACCCATGTCACATGTGAGTCCATGGAGCTGGGACTGCATCATGAGTAGATTCTACAGAATACCCAGCATTCTAATGATGCATTATTAATTAGGGGGAAAAAGTCATTCCATTAAGTCATCATTATACATGCAAGTGAAGAGCGTATAAAAGTCAGCCCAGAGTGTGAAGGCAGGAAGTTAGGATTCTAGAAACAAGGAGATGATGCTCATTTGAAATTATGAAATTGTGTCATACAAAATGGAAACAGAAGGAGACAACTCGACAAAACACTGCAGCATGTGTTTGGGGAGGATGTCTTGGCCAACCTGACATTGAGATAGAGAGGTGACTGTTTGGGCCATAGGAGCCTTTTGGCCATTTTCCTGGACTAGGGCTCATTAAGCCGCTATGGCTAAGGGTGCGTCAGGTGATAACATGTCATCTTACCTACTCTGGGAGGTTTCCCAACTATCACAGTTCACTAGGCTTACATTTAGCATCCCCAAAATGTCCTTCCTGAAGAAGAAAAATACAAAGCCACTTTGGCGTAGAATCTCATCCTTGAAGCCAGCATATGTCATCTATGGTGCCTGGAAACAAAACCTCAGTGACTTCCTGCATGACACTGGTAAGTGTGTTCCCTCAGGTGCCTCATGTCAATCAAGAAGCACACAGAGTACATTTTTATACTGTATAATTTAAGAGCTTTATTCCCTTCCCCCCCCCCCACATGCACACACAATTACAAACAGATTTCATATTCGTTCAGTTGGAAGTTTTCCTCCTACAGGTGCCTTTCTTACTGACTCTTCTGTCAGCAGGTTAGCTGCTTTCTCCTGGGGGCAAGGGTTAGGTTTCACAGAGACTCCAAGCTAATCGCAGAAACAAGAGAGTCTGACCCAGTAGCTTCTCAGTGAGTCCATGAGGTCAAGAAGTCCTTTCAGCGACAGGCCTGGAAGGCAGGGAAGAGTCAGGCTACTGAAACCTGTCAGAGATGCTGGCAGGATTCTCCGGCAGAACTGACAGAGACAGCCCCTGTGACCAGAAAGGCTGGAGGTCAAACAGTCCCATCCTCAATGCATGCCTCAAATGGGAGCATCTTAATGGATCACACCTCTGGCTTTCGTGTTGGGGTCCATGTGCCCTCATCACCAAGTGCAAGATCGATCTTCACTCCTCGGTTCACAACATTTTTGGTTTGTGCTTCAGAGGGCTGCTCTCTGCCTCTCCCAGGAATGACGGTCTCAGAGCAAGGGAAGCAGGAAGAGCCAGGCAAGCGCTGGCAGGTAGGGTGTGCAGGCACTGCTGCCGGACGTCCTCTGGGCGTGCATCACGGCGAAGACTGCATTAGTGTGGTTGGTGGGCAATTCCACATTGCAGATCATTCCTTCACAGCAAGACCTACACTCCTGTTACAGACGGAAGCGGAGAGGGCAAAGAGTGGATAACGGGGAAAAGGGGCAAGGCGTTAAACAGAGAGAAATAGAATGACAGCTCTATCTGAAGACAGACAAGGAGAGCTGGTTATCCAGGCTAAGTGTCACCCACACCCCTGGCATGCTCTCTTCTCTGCCCTGTCCATGGGGAGAAAAGAGGCAAAGACCATCTTAGGTCTTTTCATCCTGTGATTTATCTGTGTCAAATCCAAGCATAATCAAGACCAACAAAAAGAAGGGAAACTTAACAGGACTACTTGATTGAGTCAACAAATCTCAAGGTTTGTAAGGGGAAAATGAAAGCTTGGAACCTTTTGGGTTAGTCATTGATTTTCTCTCTCAGTACTACTTGTTAGGGGATAATAATGGCTCTCAATTGTCTATGCTCACACCTGATTCCTATCATTTCAGCAGCAACAGTCTGCTAATTATAGCTGCTGAGTAGTGAAAAAGGATTGGGCCCTAAGAACATAAGGAATAGGGGAAACAATCTCCTATCACAATACCAATGTGTGCCTCATACAGTTCCTCAGTCCGATACCCAGCCATTCACGGAGACTTCCAGGATGGCCAGGTAAGATAAAGGCATCAAGTCTAAGCATCTGTATCAGTGATTCTCAACCTGAGGTTCAGTCTGGAGTACCCTTTACCACCACAAATATAACATGGATTCTACAAAAGTGATCTGTGTAGCCAGAGCTGATGCCATAGAACCATTTTCTATGTTTATCATCTATGTCAAATTCTAAAACCTCATGCAGTGAACATACTTTCTAGTAATTCTTTCTCAAACATTTCAAGATCCCAGGCATATAAGCGAGTAAAAGTTTATTTGAAACGATCAAATGAGAAACTTGTACAGACAAATTGATCTAAAATGTATCTACAGTTCATTGTATTGGACTGAGACTAATCTTGCAGACTCTTATGTCCTCATCTAGGCAGAGATGGCAGTTGAGACAAGGTGTACTCAGTAAGAGTACCATCCAACTTCCCTGTGCAGTGTGCTTGGGAACCCCCAGCCATTGAATGCACCATCTGAGTTGGGCTCTGGAGTGCTTCTTTGGTGGTTTGTTTTTAGACAACCAGAGCTGGCTTCAGAGCCTGAATCTAGGTTTTAGGTCTGGAGTCTGTGGATTATCATTCATTTTTAGGGACATCATATCTTGGTAAAGGACAAAAATGTTCAACTCCCTTTTGGTCTCCATCTGATCACAGTAATTAAATCTTTCCTTCAAAATATAAATATGTTCAGCACATTACTTATCCTTCCTGCCTCTTTCATAATTTATAACCTACCATCTGACACAGAAACTTTACACACGCACACTCATACATACACACATGATCCTCACCGTGTGTTCAGAATCTCGGTTGTGGCGACAGCCAACAAAGTGACATTCACTCCTGGAGGCACATTTCTTGGTGATGGAAGTACTTCTTCCATGGCTGGTGAAGTGGTGAACTGTCAAACAGTACTGTGTATCTAGGCAACAGAAAATAATGCAGAAAAAAGCAATGTCATTTTCCACATTGTTGGCAAGAGATCCCTGAACAATCTTTTAGAATAGGTACCCACCCCTTGGTGCCAACTAAAGCTGAGAAAAAATTGTGCAAGCTCCTCATCAAAAACAGAGGTCTTGGGGACAGTGTTTGGCATAGTAGTCAGGAAGTCAGTTATAACACCACCTATGTCCCATGCCAGAGTATCTGGGTTTAACTAGCTTCCTGCTACTACAGACCCTGGGAGGCAGCAGTGCTGGTTTAAATAATTGTGTTCCTGCCAACCAGGTGGGAGACATGGATTGAGTTCCTGGCTCCCAGCTTCAGCTGGCTCGGCTCTGGCCATTGAGAAGTGAGTCAGAGGATGGGAAGTCTGTCCCTCAAATAAACTAATTTCTAAAAACCATGGATCTGCTCATTTAATGTGAAAATGTTTATGTTTCCGGACCTATCTCTCTCCCTCTAAAATAAAGTGAAAATTGTGAGTGTAAAATGCAATAGCCAGATTATGTACTTGTTGCTATTATCCAACATTTATTTCTTAAAAAAAAAAAGATGTATTTTATTTATTTGAAAGGCAGAGTTACAGAAAGAGATCTTCTTTCTGTTGATTCACTCAAATGGACACAATGGCTAGAGCCAAAACCAGGACCAGGAGTTTCTTCAAGGTCTCCAACTTGGGTACAGGGAACCAAGGACTTGGGCCATCCTCTGCTGGATGGGAATGGAACAGCCAAAACTTGAATTGACACCCATATGGGATGTCAGTGTCACACACGGCAGCTTTACCTGCTATGCCACATGCTGGCCCCCAACATTATATACTACGGGGCAATGTGGCAAACTAGAGTGAAAGGTAGGTGCTTCACATTTCTTATCTCATTCTTGTTCATCTGCAAATGCTACTAATATATTTGAAATTTTCCTCATCCCTGTATTTCCATTTTTTCTTTCTCTTTAACTCTTCTCTGTTTCCAGCCCATCCTTTGCTCAACACAGCAAGCAAAGTTCTTTTTTGGTAAATATTGGTATTATTTTCATTTTATTTGAAAGGGGGGGGATAGAAAGAGAGAGAGAGTGTTGGGGTAGGCCAAAGCCAGGAGCCTGGAACTCAGTCCAGGTCTTCCACATGGATGGCAGGGACCCAATTACTTGAGCTATCACCCCTGCATTCCCAGGTTGTGCATCAGCAGGAAGCTGGAGGAACCAGAGAGGAACTGGCACTAGAACCAGGCACTCCATTATGGGATGCAGGCATTCTAAGTGGCATCTTAACTGTTTCACCAAATGCCTGCCTCAGCTAGCTCATTTCTACATGGACTTACCCCCAAAGCTTTAATCACACACATTTTATTACTTGAGTTTCTTTCAGGAAAATAATTTCATTCAATATCCTAGGTCATTCTGCTTTGAATCTATAAAAGGGTCTTCAGACACTTCACGGAAAAATGTGTATTATGAAAAAACTACTCATGGACTTGAAAAATTTTTAAATTTATTTATTTATTTGAAAGGCAGAGTTACAGAGAAAAAGGGTGAGAGAGAGAAAGAGAGAGAGAGAGAGAGAGAGAGAGAGAATGAGAATCTTCCATCTGTTGGTTCAACCCCCAAATGACCTCAATGGAGCTGGGGCAGATTGAAGCCAGGAGCCTGGAACTCTATCCCATTTGTGTGGCAAGGGTGCAACACTTGGGCCATCTTCTGCTGCTTTCCCAGGCATATTATCAGGGAGCTGGACTGGAAGTGGAGCAGCCAGGACTCCAACCAGCACCCATATGGGGTGCCAGCATCCCAGGTGAAGGTTTAACCCAACGTGCCACAATGCCAACACCTAGGATCTCAAAACCTGTTCACCAAAAATAAACTTTTAATTTCATTTTCTTCGATAGGTATTTCAGGCCAGTGAAATTCTTCTTAGTTTAACCACAGCAGCAATGTCACTGCATAAGGAAACAACCGGACTGAAGTTGAGAAGATTGGGCTTACTTCTATATTCTCATTCAACCTTTACCATAGCCTTAAAGTGAGTCATACTGACATCTCATTTTACAGATAGAGACCTAGGCACATTTTCTACTGCCAAAATTAGAAATTGGGAGAAGCTAAAATCCTGACTGAAGCAGTTTTCTAGGATTTAGATTCTTAACTAGACAACAGTGCCTCTCCATTTAGTTGATATTAAACTAGACAATATTAAACTAGACAATGCAGTAGAGTGCTCTACAAGGATACCAATCTGCTGGGTTCGGTGTTTGACCTAGTGGTTAAGACAGCAGCTGGGACACCGGAACCCCATATCACAGTTCAATTCATGCCTCTGGCTCCAGACTCCACCTTCTTTCTAATGCAAACCCTCAGAGGCAGTGATGATGGCACAAATAATTAGGTGTCTGCCACCTGTACAAGAGCCTTGGTTTGAGTTCCTGGCTCCCAGATGCAGCCTGACTCAGCCCTAGCCATTGTGAGCAGCATATATGGGAGTTCCCTCTATGTCTCTCTGCCTCTGACTTCTGGGTTCAGAAGTAAAGTGATGGTTAAATGTTTGGGAGAAGGCCTTTTGATCTATACTCCAAACAAAGAATTGAAAATTGGCAGCTGTAAATGTTCATAGAGAATATGACAATAGGCCAAAGCAGCCTCAACATGTCAGCACAAAAGCCACGGAAAATAAAACAGGAAATGTCATTCTTGTTGTATCCTGTTACATTGGAAACCTCTTTTGACAACACTGACAGACCACAGAATTGAAGCTCTAAGGAGAAAAGGAAACTTAAGATGACAAAGAACAAAATCTGCAGGCCTGTTTGCCCCCACAAAATGGTTGACTATCAATTCCACAAATAATGACAAAGTAAAAAGTCAGAAATCAGACCCTCAGTTACAATCACAGATGGCTAATATCTTTGGGGTTTGACTAGCATGCATATGATCAAGAACACACTGTTGGGTCATGCTGGAATGCACGTGGCAGGGTTAACTCTCTTCCATCCTTTCCATCTCTGCCATTTTCTTGGTAGTATAAAGTGACAGTTTCCCCTGTTTACTCAAGTTTCAAAAGCAAACTCAGAAAGAGCTGTGCATGTTCCTTGCAAGCATGTTAAAATGGTTCTGGTTAGTGAATGACAAACTATATTGCTATGCACAGAACTGCTGGGGAACCGCTTTCATCGAATTCAAAATGGCACAGTTCATAAAGAGAAGGCTTAAGAGGTCACTCATCAATGCCTATTCTATGCCTGTTCTATCCCTTACCACTGAATTTTCAGGGGGAATTTAAAGTATATTGCTGAAGAATAATACCCACCCTCTGAAATATGTTCATAAATAGAGGGATCAACTAACCTTGAAAGCTTTGGAAAAACTAAATCTCTGTGAGAAATGTAGAAATGAATTCCTCAAATGCACACAGTCACACATGCACATGTACTCACAGGCACAAGCATGACTTAAGGGCAATCACCCTACAGAAGTGTAAAAGAACCTAAAGAACAGTATCTTGGTAATTAATTATTCTTAACAAATAATGGAAAGTACCATTCATATAGATGTCACAGCCATTTGTGTTAATTTACTCCATATGATTCTCAGTCCCAGAAGTCTCCAGTTTGCAGCCTTTATTGCCTCCACTCATTGGCTTTATCTGGTAAGGCTATTCCAGTGCTATAACTGATGTGGAATAGAAATTTCTGAAACATTCAAGGTCTAGTACTAGACCAAAACTAGTAATCTTTAATTCAGGAAGAGTTTTGGGGTTGTTTGTTTAAATGTTTTCTCAGCCTTTTACATATGAAAGCTTAAAAAAAGTACTACCTAAAATCTAAACAGCCAGATCTCCTTATAGTTCTAAGAGTTTTTCAATTCCAAGTCTTCCATCAGCACAGTCTCTCTGATTTACTTTCAAGTTTCTTTTTTTTTAAGTTTCTTTGTATTAAACCATTCAACTTCCTGCTACTTCTGTCCCTACCAAACTAGTCCAAACCTCCCTAGCTTTAAACTCTGTTATCCTCCATCATACTTAATGATGAAATCCAAATTCCTTATGAGAAATGCAAGATTCTGCATTCCCTGGTTCTTGTCTCCTCTGATCCTTTCTCCATCTCCCACTAAGCCTCAGCTATCAAGTAGGAAGTCAAGCCTACTCTTGTCCTTTGAAGCCTTTGCACTTACTGTCCTCTCTTCCTGGCATGCTCTGCCGATAGATTTCCACATGGCTGGCTTATTTTTGTCATTCAAGTGTTACTTTATCTATCTATCTATCTATCTATCTACCTACCTACCTACCTATTACCTATCTATTTATTTATTTGGCAAACACAAGTATCCCATCTGATGAATCACTTTCCAAATGTCCACAACATCTGGGGTTGGACCAGGCTAAAGCCAAAAGTCAGGAATGCAATTCAGGTGTTTGAATGGCAGGAACCCAATTACCAGTCATGACTGCTGCCTCCCAGGGTCTACTTTAGCAGGAAGATATACCCAGGAGCCAAATCCAGAGCCAGGTGTTGAACATAGGTACTCCAATGTAGGGCACAGGAATCCTAACCAGCATCATAACAACTAGGCTAACTATTCTCCCCAGATCTTAGTTTTAATATATACCTCTCAGAGATTTCATTTACAACCTAATCAAAGGCATCCATTCAGGCAATAAATATTTACCAAGTACCTAATCTGGGTCGGGCACTGGATTAGGCATTGGGGGTACAGCATGGAATTACATAGACTAAAAAGAGATTCAAATGTTTGCTGAATGAATGAATATACATCCTAAGCATCAGTCTCAAAAGTACAGAAGACTTCTCTGCATTAAGCCAGCAAGTATGACTTTTTTAGAGGTATTATTAAGCATTTATAAAATTCTTGGAATGCTTAGTCACCATTGTAGTCTATCTGTCCTCTCTGGAAAATATCGTTTAAGAAATTCTTCTTGAAGGTGCACATAGCTGCAAATAGAGGCTGTGCCACCAGGTTCCAAGTTCTCTCAGTACACAGTCATGCATTACATACCAATGTTTGGTGAACAATAAACTACATATACAATGGTGGTCGCATAAGATTATAAGGGAGCTGAAAAGTTCTCATTACCTAGTGAACATATAGGTAAAGAAGAGACCAGAGGAAAAGAAACTATAATAGATAGAGAGAAAAAAAAGGATCCCCAAGAAAACTCAGATATGGGTTTAGCAGAAGAATTGCATACCTAAACTAGCTCCTTAAAAAGTTTGAAATCAGCTCTTTTATTTGCCAATTTAATTTCCTTTGAGTAAATTCCAAAGAGTGGGAAGGCTGGGTTCTATGCGAAGGTTATATTCAGGTTTCTGAGGAATCTCCAGACTGACTTCCATAGTGGCTTAACCAGTTTACATTCCCACCAACTGGGTTAGTGTCCCTTTTTCCCCACATCCTCGCCAGCATCTGTTGTTGGTAGATTTCTGAATGTGAGCCATTCTAACCTGGGTGAGGTGAAACCTCATTGTAGTTTTGATTTGCATTTCCCTGATGGCTAGTGATCCTGAACGCTTTTTCATGTGTCTGTTGGCCATTTGGATTTCTTCTTCTGAAAAATGTCTATTGAGGTCCTTGGCCCATCTCTTAAGTGGGCTGTTTGTTTTGTTGTTGTGGAGTTTCTTGATCTCTTTGTAGATTCTGGTTATCAACCCTTTATCTGTTGCATAGTTTGCAAATATTTATTCCCATTCTGTTGGTTGCCTCTTCATTTTCCTGACTGTTTCTTCTGCAGTACAGAAACTTCTCAATTTGATGTAATCCCAATTGTTAATTTTGGCTTTGACTGCCTGTGCCTCTGGGGTCTTTTCCAAGAAGTCTTTGACTGTGCCTATATCTTTCAGGGTTTCTCCGATGTTCTCTAATAATTTGATGGTGTCAGGTCATAGATTTAGATCTTTAACCCATGTTGAGTGGATTACTCAGAAACCTGAATATAGCCCTACCACATGACCCAGCCATCCCGCTCCTTGGGATTTACCCAAAGGAAATTAAATTGGCAAATAAAGAAGCTGTGTGCACATTAATGTTTATTGCAGCTCAATTCACAATAGCTAAGACCTGGAACCAACCCAAATGCCCATCAACAGTAGACTGGATAAAGAAATTATGGGACATGTACTCTATAGAATACTATACAGCAGTCAAAAACAATGAAATCCAGTCATTTGCAACAAGATGGAGGAATCTGGAAAACATCATGCTGAGTGAAATAAGCCAGTGCCAAAGGGACAAATATCATATGTTCTTCCTGATCGGTGACAACTAACTGAGCACCAAAAAGGAAACCTGTTGAAGTGAAATGGACGCTATGAGAAACAGTGACTCAATCAGCCCTTGTCCTGACTGTCGATGAACAACTTAATACTTTATCCCTTTTAGTATTTTTTTGTTCTACTTAATACTATTGGTTGAACTCTTTAATTAACACACAATTATTCTTAGATGTTCAAATTTAATTGAAAAGTGATCCCTGTTAAATATAAGAGTGGGAATAAGAAAGGGAGGAGATGCACAGTTTGGCACATGCTCAATTGGACTTGCCCCAAACAGTAGAGTTAGAAACGTGCCAGGGGATTCCAATCAATCCCATCAAGGTGGCATGTACCAATGCCATCTCACTAGTCAAAATGATCAGCTTCAGTTCACAATTGATCATAATGATAGGATTAAGAGTCAAAGGGATCACATAAACATGACTAGTGTCTGCTAATACTAACTGATAGAATTAAAAAGGGAGAGAATGATCCAACATGGGAATCAGGATACCCAGCAGACCCATAGAATGGCAGATGTCCTAAACAGCACTCTGGCCTCAGAATCAGCCCTTAAGGCACTTGGATCTGGCTGAAGAGAACATGAGAGTATTTTAGGCACGGAAAGCCAAGACACTCTGGCAAAACAAAAACAAAAACAAACAAACAAACAAACAAAACCACCTAAATGAAAGATCTCTGCAAGTGAGATCCCAGCAGAAAGAACAAGCCATCAAAGAAGGAGGTACCTTTCTCTGAAGGGAGGAGAGAACTTCCACTTTCACTATGACCTTGTCTGAATAAGATCGGAGTTGGCGAACTCAGCCTTGGCAACTCATGACAAGAGCCTAGGGTGATTACTGACGCCATAAACAAGAGTGTCAATTGTTAAATCAACAACAGGAGTCACTGTGCACTTACTCCCCATGTAGGATTTCTGTCCTTAATGTGTTGTTCAATGTAAATTAATGCTATAACTAGTACTCAAAGAGTACTTTACACTTTGTATTTCTGTGTGGGTGCAAACTGTTGAAATCTTTACTTAGTATATACTAAATTGATCTTCTGTATATAAAGAGAATTGAAAATGAATCTTGATGTGAATGGAATAGGAGAGGGAGCAGGAGATGGGAGAGTTGTGGGAGGGAGGGAAGTTATGGGGGAAAAAGTCACTGTAATCCAAAAGTTGTACTTTGGAAATTATTTTTTTTAACTTTTATTTAATAAACATAAAAGAGAAATGAGAAGACAAAAAAAAGTTTGAAATCATGGACCCCAGCATCAAAACGTTTTTACTAATAGAGAGGAATGCTGTTGGTGCATTATCTGCTTAAAAGAAAATCCAGGATGAAAAAAGAAGTAAACCAAGAAAAGTACCAAGGACATGCTTCAAAAAAGAGTGACTTCTCCTCAAGAAATCATTTAGTCAGGTCCTTCAGGAAGTGTTCAGAAGCAGGTGTTATTATCAGAGGGATAACAGCTCCATGTGTGGTATTGCTCTAAAGACCCTCCCATGGAACTAGATGCAGAAGTGGAGAGAGTGATGGGGATGATTTTGACCCTCTGTAGGCCTAGCTTAAATTGTGTTTATATCTTAGATTTTTGTTTAAAAAAAGCTTAAAATACACAATATAAAATTTAAAAAATAAGAAAAAACATATAGTATCGCTCCCCCATTCGCAGAGGAACGACACAGGACCCTGCGCTGTTCTTCTGTCTGCTCGGCCCTCCCCGGGTTTGCTGCTGGTTCTTCCCGGGTTGGCTACCGTCCCTTCCACCTCCGTGGAAGGGCGGTTCCCCCTGCCACTTTCCCCACTTCCGCGGGGGAGCGGCACACCGCCGGCCAGCTCTCTCGGGGGCTGCTCAGATGTTATCCGGATGTTCCCCTTAGATGTTCCTGGTGCATGTTGTCTCTCTCCTCCTTTATAGTCCTCTTCCACCAATCCCAACTCTGCTACCCACACGCCGAGCACACTGCTCTCCTCCAATCAGGAGCAGGATCAGCTCCTGCAGCTCAGTCAAATTGGCGAGAGGCAGCTGTGTAGAAGTTGTTTACTCCTCTCCCAGCGCCATATTGTGGGAGAGCAGATGCATAGAATAAGTCTTAATTCCAGTAACTTAGTCTAGTCCGAGTTGCTCCCCACAATATAGCATAAGGATATAAAGAAAAATATTTTGTATGACTGTACAGTATGCTTATATTTTAAGTTAAATATTACAAGTCAAAAAGTTTAAAAAGTTATATTTACAATACAGAAATATTGTCAGCTGAGATTAATTCATTAATTGATGACAATAACTGTTTTTATAAAGTTAGCCTACGTGTAGAGTATTTATAAAGTCAGTAGCGATGTTCAGTAATATCCTAGGCCTTCACATACACTCTCCATTCACTCACTCACTCACTCACCCACAGCAACTTCCAGTCTTGCAAACTGTATTCATGGTAAGTGTCCTATACAAGAGTGCCATTTTTTATCTTTCACGTTGTATTTTTACTGCACCTTTTCCATGTTTACATAAACAAATACTTACCATATTTTAGAGTTGCCAACAGTGTTCAGCACAATAACAGCTGTGCAGGTGAGCAGTCCAGAAGTCAAAGACTGTACCACATGGTCTAAATGTGTAGTAGGCTACATCATCTAGGTTTGTATTAGTACAGGTTATAATGGTCGTGCAACAAAAATATTGTTTAATGATGCATTTCTTAAGATGCATGTCCATGGTTAAGTGACACATCAGTGTAATCTGATGTCAGATATTCCCTTGGAAGAAATCTCTGAGTCCTGTAGAACATCAACAGCCTATTGGCATGCTAGTCCATTACATAATATGTCTCTGTTCTGCACAAGTCAAGACAGACTTAGATCACATGAAATTAGAAGTCTTCAAGCTTAGCACACTTACTTTGTGGACACCATTTGTCTTCTGCCCATCTATTGCAGTTATAATTATCTCCTGCATTTTCACAGGTAAAACACTTGAAGCTGTTTGGAAACGGTGTAGCTTTAGAGAAAAATGCAAAGTAGAAAAGGAAGTTTAAAAGAGACAAAAATTTCAAACATCAAATATGGTACAAAATTAAGAACATAAACTAGGTGAACTTACGAACCACTGGCTTTAGAATTTCTGTTTCTAGAGAGCTAAACCTTCCCATCAAGCTTTTGGGCACTTCTTTTATTCCCTTGCCTTTAAGTAGTTTTTCTATGAATTTTCATGATGACACAATGAAAATGATTCCACAAGCCACTTTGAAAAATTAGGCATTATTTTACTACAAATTGGGGATAAGCAAGGGTTGAAAGGATGGACAAGGGTGTCAGAGGTATTGGAACCCATAATTTGATCTGTATGTCATCTCCAAAAATAACTAAGGTCAGGATTAACCTGAGTTTGAATTCTGTCTTTACCACTAATTTGTGTGTGATTTTTAACTTCTAAGATAAAACAGTATTTCTAATAATGATGCAGATGTCCCCAACTCGCAGAGGTATAGTGATGGGAAATTGTGAGTAAAATAACTAATGGAGTCCCTGGCACATCAAATCATGCTGGTTCCCACCCCCATGCACTTCCATTGCAGCTACATTTAACATTTAACAAGTAATCCCCTCTAATGTACACCAATGATCACAACATTAAATCTGGACCAGGAATTAACATTTAATACAAGTAGAAAAATGACAGTAATTATTAAGCCCAAAAACTCAGGCCAGAGTATCATAGAAAAGAAAAATTCTGGATTGCTGGCAGCACAGCCTGGATTGAGAGCAACTTGTATGTTTCTTTTTATCTTTTCTTTTTCTTTCTTTTTTTTTTTTGACTTCTATCTTGTTATTTTAATGGGCAAGAAGAAAAAATAAAATACTTTGACATATCTGTAAAGACTAGGTTATAGGGCTCTACGTAAACCTCCCAATTTATGGGAGTGAAACAGACAAACATGACAGTGAAATTCAAACCATGTTAGCACAAAACCAGAAGCTGGGGTGCAAATGAGGAAATAGGGGGTATGTCAGATACAAGGCATGATATGTATTAACTGCATAAATGAGGAAAATATCAACAACTGAGATTCAGAGGGCATGAAACTAAATATCATTGAATATATTTCAGTTTTTCCTATGCAGAGAAGTACACTAGTTAGGTAAGTTTATAAAATGACTTCATTAATCAGTTTGAAAATATTGAGTCAGTGCTGCCAGGTTAACAGTTAAAAAGTCTAAATTGGCACAACATTTTTGACTGAGTAATTCTAATTCCAGGAAATCTATACTAAGATCATTATCCAACCGAAAAAAAATGAATTGTAAAAGCTTTTCAATGAAATGTTGTTTAACTTGCATATGAGTTTTTTCTTTTTAAAATTTTATTTATTATCTGAGAGGTACAGAAAAATAGTTTCCATTACCAGCTCACTCCTCAAATGTCACAATGGTCACAATGGTCAAAGGTCAGGGGTCGGCCAGGTCTCACCCTCAGCTGTGTATCAAGAAAATTTTACGAAGAAGAAGGTGGGGATGGGGCCGGCGCAGTGCACAGTGGGTTAAAGCCCTGGTCTGCAGTGCCAGCATCCCATATGGGCACTAACTCTGGTCCTGGACGCTCTATTTCCCATCCAGCTCTCAGCTATGGCCTGGGGAAGCAGTAGAAGGTGGCTCAACTCCTTGGACCCCTGCACCCGCGTGGAAGACTCTGAGGAAGCTCCTGACTCCTGGCTTCAGATCGGCACAGCTCGGGCCATTGTGGCCAACTGGGGAGTGAACCAGCAGATGGAAGACCTTTCTCTGTCTCTGTCTCTACCTCTCTCTGTAACTCTGTCTTTCAAATAAATAAAATAAATCATTTTTTTAAAAAAAGAAGTGAAGGTGGGAGGAAGAAGAGAAGAGCTATTCCCTCTTTCAGTCTCCCATCTACTGAACCTCTGGAGAAGATATTTGGGGAAATGTAGTGTGTTTTGTTTTTTGAGGTAGTTTAGTTTGCTTTGGTGTCATTCATTAGATTTTTTCTCGACAGGCAGAGTGGACAGTGAGAGAGAGAGACAGAGAGAAAGGTCTTCCTTTGCCGTTGGTTCACCCTCCAATGGCCGCTGTGGCCGGCGCACTGTGGCTGGCGCACTGCGCTGATCCAATGGCAGGAGCCAGGAGCCAGGTGCTTCTCCTGGTCTCCCATGGGGTGCAGGGCCCAAGCACTTGGGCCATCCTCCACTGCACTCCCTGGCCATAGTAGAGAGCTGGCCTGGAAGAGGGGCAACCGGGACAGAATCCGGTGCCCCGACCAGGACTAGAACCCGGTGTGCCAGCGCCGCAAGGAGGAGGATTAGCCTAGTGAGCCGCGGCGCCAGCCAGAAATGTAGTTTTAAAACCTTTTTTCGGCCAGCACCGTGGCTCACTAGGCTAATCCTCCACCTGCAGTGCTGGCACCCCGGTTCTAGTCCCGGTTGGGGTGTCAGATTCTGTCCCGGTTACTTCTCTTCCAGTCCAGCTCTCTGCTGTGGTCTGGGAGTGCAGTGGAGGATGGCCCAGGTCCTTGGGCCTGCACCTGCATGGGAGACCAGGAGGAAGCACCTGGCTCCTGGCTTCGAATTGGCACAGTGTGCTGGCTGCAATGCACCGGCCTTAGTGGCCACTTGGGGGATGAACCAATGGAAAAAGGAAGACCTTTATCTCTCTCTCTCTCTCACTGTCTAACTCTGCCTGTCAAAAAAAAAAAAAAAACTTTTTTCATGATTCTTATACTATTTCACCTGTGGGAACTACAGGCATTCACAAGCATACCAAATAACTTTTTACTTATAAGAATCTCTTTCTAATAAAGCATATGAGAGAAGTTTTACTTGTCTGAAAACAAAGAAGGGGTTATGATAAATGCATATAAACACATGAAGATATTTTAAAGAATGTGTGGACAAACAGAATTAAAAGGTAAATTTCTTTTGGTGCAAAACAAATTGAAATCCATTCATACAAGGAGTCTCTTAAAAGTTCATGGAAATGCAGATTATGAAAAATCTATATGCATGAATTTCAAAAATTTTTGTACCAAAATAACTTATCTTTCTAATTCTGCTTGTCCATGACATTTTGAAGTACTCAAAATGTATATAAATTGTGCTAATATATATTATCTTGTAGACAATATTCATTAATATTTGTCTGTTTCTAAACTATTAGTGACAAAGTAGAGTTTTATATAACTTTTGGTAATGATGATTATACATAATAATCATGAAAATCCAGGTAATATTTCTCTCCACATTAAAGATAATCATCTGTTTTCAAAGATATCAATGCCCATTGGAAAGACTGAGTGTATCATTTAATGTAGAAAACTCCTACAGCTGATGCCCTTCTTTGACAAAGAGATCAACGAAGATCACTGAAGATCCTCTGTTGAAGCCATGATTAGCAGTAGTGCTCAAAAGAGTTTTCTTTAAAACAAGAACTCCTTTAAAACTTTACCAGGAAACCAAAAAGATTTCTTTCTCCAGACCTATACCCACAGAGGTAATAAACACTGTCGGTTTTATTCTTGGCATAAACCAAACATTCTAGAAAAAGGCAAAGCTACAATAAACAGGAAAGGGACGTTCAGATGGACACCTGGTCCCACAGCCATGAAGGAGGATGGCAGGCACTACTTACGGTCAACAGGAGGCCTCACATTATAGAAGTTGATGTTCTTGGCAAACACCCCATGTTCTGAGAAGGTAAAGACCTGGACAACAGCTACAGCCAGAGCGTGGCACAGGAGCAGCATCCTGACCTTGTGTCCTGAACAGGCCAAACCCATATATCTACAAGAAAAAGACAGTCTGCTACAGTTTATTTGTTTTATACATCAGCACCATTATGTTTTGCTTCTCTTTGGAAAGCTCAATTATTCAAATAGATTCAACTACCATTGTGCAGGACAAGCACCTGTAAGCAAATTGCATTCGTTTTACTCAGATGAAAGTTAAGTAATTACTGCTTTTGCACTAGCCAGAGAGATTTAGCAGGACGGCAAGTGGCCTTTCATGTTCAGGAAGAACAAGTAGCCAGTACTGCCCTGGCTGCACCTCCCTCAATTTCTCTGTGCTGGGGTGAGCTGGTTGACATCATATTGAATCACTTATCTCTTAAACCAATGGTGGTTCCACATCATGCATGATCACCTGGCCCACCTATCTGTCAAATCCACTCCCTATTAAACACTTATGTTTGATAAATTTTGCAAGTATGTCAAGATGTGGAAGAAACAATAAAAGTGGGTCAGTGTGCAAACAATGAATCTGAGAAACAAAATTTCTGCTGGACCCCAGAGCACATAAACACTGAGAAGAGAAACAAAAGCCTCTGTGAGGGGCTAGCATTGTCGGTAAAGCCACTGCCTGCAACATCAGAATCCCAAATGGGCATCAGCTCCTATCCTGGCTGCCCTACTTCCAATCCAGCTCCCTGCTAATGGCCTGAGAAAAGCAGCAGAAGTTGGGCCAAGTACCCGGACGCCTGCCACACATGTGGGAGACCCAGAGGAGGCTCATGGATTCGGTCTGGCCCAGGGCTGGCCATTGCAGACATTTAGGGAGTGAGCCAGTCTATGGAAGATCTCCTTCTCTATGTCTCTCCCTCTCTCTCTGTAACTCTGGCTTTCAAATAAATATAAAATCTTTTTTTAAAAAAAGAATCACTGTGAAATGCCAGCCCCACTTGCTCCTGGCATAATGGATGCAAAGAGAATATGGTAGGAGATTCTAGAAGAAACAGAATACAGGTTGTTTGAAAAAGCTGAAAATCATATACAGGATAACTTGAAAAAGTTCATGGAAAATGGAATTAAAGACAAGTTTATTTTGGTGCAAAGAATTTTGAAATCCATCCGTAGTTTTTTCATAATATTCATCTACATGAACTTTATGAAGGCTCCTTGTATGCATGGATTGCAAATGTTTTTGCACCAATAAAACCCTTTATATTTTTTAAAAGATTAATTTAATTTATTTGAAAGACAGAGTTACAGAGAGAGGTAGAGACAGAGAGAGAGGTCTTCCATCCACTGGTTCACTCCCCAGATGGCCACAACGGCCAGAGCTGTGCTGATCCAACGCCAGGAGCTTCTTCCGGGTCTCCTATGTGGGTGCAGGGGCCCAAGCACTTGGGCCATCTTCTACTGCCCTCCTTGGCCACAGCAGAGAGCTGGATTGGAAGAGGAGCAGCAGGGACTAGAACGAGCGCCCATATAGGATGTCGGCACTTCAGGCCAGGGCATTAACCCGCTGCGCCACAGCGCTGGCCCCCAAACCCTTAATTTTTAATTAGATTCTCCATAAACTTTTTGAACCACTCTCATAATGTTGGTCCTGCTCTACAAATAATGCTCACTGTTTTCATAGACTTAAAGTGGGCAGGACTTTACCAATTGGGGCAAGTCAGCCCGAGCATGCCCCAAATTATACATCTCTTCCCTCTCTTATTCCCACTCTTATGTTTAACAGGGATCACATTTCAGTTAATTTTCAACACTTAAGAATAACTGTGTGATAATTACAGAATTAAACCAGTCATATTAAGTAGAACAGACAAAAAAAAATACTATGAGGGATAATGTATTAAGTTGTCCATAAGCAGTCAGGGCTATGCTGATCAAGTCACCATTTCTCATAGTGTCCATTTCACTTCAGGAGGTTTCCTTTTTGGTGTTCAGTCAGTTGTCACCGATCAGGGAGAACATATGGTATTTGTCCCTTTGGACTGGCTTACTTCACTCAGCATGATGTGTTCAGATTCCTCCATTTTGTTGCAAATGACTGGATTTCGTTGTTTCTTACTGCGGTATAGTATTCTAAAGAATACATATCCCATAATTTCTTTATCCAGTCTACCATTGATGGGCATTTAGGTTGGTTCCAGGTCTTGGCTATTGTGAATTGTGCTGCAATAAACATTAGGGTGCAGACCGCTTTTTTGTTTATCAATTTAAACTCCTTTGGGTAAATTCCAAGGAGTGGGATGGCTGGGTCGAACGGTAGGGTTATATTCAGGTTTCTGAGGAATCTCCAGACTGATTTCCATAGTGGCTTGACCAGTTTGCATTCCCACCAACAGTGGGTTAGTGTCCCTTTTTCCCCACATCCTCGCCAGCATCTGTTGTTGGTAGATTTCTGTATGTGAGCCATTCTAACCGGGGTGAGGTGAAACCTCATTGTGGTTTTGATTTGCATTTCCCTGATTGCTAGTGACCTTGAACATTTTTTCATGTGCCTGTTGGCCATTTGGATTTAGTAGAGTTGGAAACATACCAGGGGATTCCAATTCAATTCCATCAAGGTGGCATGTGCCAATGCCATCTCACTATTCCAAGTGATCAATTTCAGTTCACAATTGATCATAATGAAAGGACTAAGAGTCAAAGGGAGCACATAAACAAGTCTAGTATCTGCTAACACTAACCGATAGAATAAATAAAGGGGAGAGTGATCCAACATGGGAAGTGAGATACTCAGCAGACTCATAGAATGGCGGATGTCCTAAATAGCACTCTGGCCTCAGAATCAGCCCTAAAGGCACTCGGATCTGGCTGAAAAGCCCATGAGAGTATTTCAGGCATGGAAAGCCAAGACACTCTGGCAAAAAGATCTCTGTGAGTGAGATTCCAGTGGAAAGAACAGGTCTTCAAAGAGGGAGGTGCCTTTCTCTGAAGGGAGGAGAGAACCTCCACTTTGACTATGACCTTGTCTAAACAAGATAAGAGTCGGAGAACTCAAAGGGCTTCCATAGCCTTGGAAACTCATGACTGGTGCATAGGGAGATTGCTGATGCCATAAACAGGAGTGTCAATTGGTAAAGTCAACAACAGGAGTCACTGTGCACTTACTCCTCATGTAGGATCTCTGTCCTTAATGTGCTGTACACTGAGGCTTAATGCTATAACGAGTACTCAAACAGTATATTTCACTTTGTGTTTCTATGGGGGTGCAAACGATTGAAATCTTTACTTAATGTACACTAAACTGATCTTCTGTAAAAAAAAAAAAAATTATCAATTCCCAACTTGACTCTCACTGGGATTAAACATGACAATAGGTCTGAAAAAAAAATAAAGTGGGCAGGACTGAAAAGCAACGAAACAACAGATAAAGAGTGTGGAGTAAAAGAGCATCTTAAGCCTTAGAGATTCTACTTTCCAGAAACAGACCTGGTAGTAGGAAAATCTACATCAGCACTAACAGGTTCTTTGACAAGGAAGAGATGTGAGCAGCAGAAAGTGTATGTAACAGAGTCCAGAGATTTTGGTTCAAGAACTGGTGCTGTTTAATAGATGCCTGATCTTCAGCAAGTTTTTTAACCTCCATTAACCTCAATTTCCTCTACTGTAAAGTGGCTTAATAACACTCACAGCACCCACTAACTTGGGTAATTGTGAGCACCAGATACAGGCTCAGATAGGATCACATAAGAGTGTATACATAAAAGTGCTTATAATAAAATTTTGGTGAAAATGCTGCAGTATTATAGTTCAGTAATATTTGATGAACTCATTTTATTTTGCTGAATCAATTGATCTCTGTAGGATTTTTTTTTTTAATTTGATCCCTGAAGGTAAGGCAGTCTTTCATAGAGGGACAATGTGTTTGAAGCTAATGTAACAATGTGTGAGTTCTAGGATTTTGCTTTCCCCACTGTGAATACATGGGTTTTGCATGTGTGACTAATAACTATGGAGATGGAACTGAATATTAGATAAATGTACCCACAACATTACATGATCCTTATAAACTGCTTTTTTCAATGATGGGGCTGAGTCTCTAAGGAAGCACTCAGATTGAAGGGAAAAAGCAAACAAACAGAAATCTAGTGAGTATGTTTCAAAAACAATAGTGCTAAACTTATACATTCTATTTCAGTTCAGTACAAAATCAGATCTAGTGAGGTAAAAAATACACATAATTCTTTCCTTGTTCACTTGGGAAGCCAAATCACTTCAGAAGCCAAAATTGACTTTTCAACTACCAGATTTCCAAACTCTATTCTTAATACTCTTTCTTTAGAGAACTAGATGCAACTTCTACCTCCCCATTCATTCCTCTAAGTTGCTGTGTTTCACAGTCATTATAAATCTGTCACCACATAATAGATCTCTCTTCTACACAGTGTAGATGGTTTGAGTGGAAGAGCCTACTCCTGCTTTCAGAAACCCCGGATTGAGTGTGTCAATAGCACTGCACAAATATTCTTATATGGAAATGAATGATGCCTAAATAATATCTATGTCAGCAATATACTGGTCCATATTCAAATCCCTTTTATTCCACTAAGCAGTCATAGGACCTTTGACAAGTTGCTGAAACTCCTCATGCTGCAGCTTCCCCATCTGTAGGACAAGCATGAAAACAGCACTTAGCCCAGGGCTTTGAAGTGAGAATAGAATGATACAACGCATACAGGACACTCAGCTGAGTGCTGGACACATGGTTAAAGCTACATTTATCGAGCATATTCCATTTGATTGTAAATAACATTGGTCCAAATACATGCTTTCAAACCTTCTATTTGTGAAGCTTGATGCCAGTTCCTTAACTTCCCTGTAACACAATTTTTACATCCATAAAACGAGAGTAATAATAATTTTTAATTCATAGGGCTATGGGAATTAAATTAATGCATGTAAAGCACTTGGACTATCTAACTGGCTGGGTGCCCAGAATTTTGCTAATTCTTACTAGAGAATCATTCACTATTATGAAATATTTCGCAGTTCAGAATCACAAGTTTAAATCCCTGGTTTTCCTCATGTACTATCAGTGTGTGACAAAAG